GTTGTTGTTGAAGTTTTTCAAGTCGCACTACAGATGGCGGCTGGTTGGAGTGGTGCACAGAACTTGGAATCCCCACAGTAACTTTCAGATCTGGGGATAAGAATGCTGGATATTCTACTGGCTGTGGTATAATAACATTTGTCTCAGGATCTGTTCTTTCTGGAGGTGGTGCAATATTCATAAACATGGATGGCTCAATAATTTTCTGAAGAGGTTTTAAAGTTTCTAAGGCTAAGAAGTCCAAAGTCCATCTGGTGGTGGTGACAGCGACCCACGGGTCTCACATTGCAAGATAGTGGAAGCACAGAGAGCAGAGAGAGAGCAAGAGAGGCTCTCCTCTCTTAGAGCCCTCAGAACCACGCCCCTAAATTAGGTTTTTTAGAAGAATTTTTCTGGCTTACTGAGTTAAAGAGATTGACTCTATGTTATATGTTTCATAATTTTAGTTTTCAGATTCAGATTTTCTAGAACTAATTTGAAAGCTATAACAATCAAAAAATGAAGAAGATTGTTATATTATCTGTCTCCTTCCCCACCTATTCTAGAAGTTTGTATTTAGGCATTTATATTTGTGGATTCTGAAGCCTCAGGACAAATAACTTTTTTGAATTGGAGTGATTTTATATTTATTTCTCTGCAGGAAAAATCAGTTGTCTTTGTGTTTGCAGAATGGAGGGTAAAAAAGAGTTTTGAATTGTGAAATGCTTATAAATTAAGACAGCATGTTGAGATGACCACATCCATGGTGGCCAACTCCAGGGGATGGAATTCGTGTATACAGAGAATGCTTGGAGCACTGCTGAGCACTGACATATATAATTACACACAGTAAAGCAGGTTGCCAGAATCCTACAACTGAGGGTAGAGTGGTTTAGAGCCCTCCACATCCCATTCTAACCTTTGGTCTTTACTGTTGTGTTTTGACTTAATGACTTAATTTTGCTGTGTGAATTTAGTTAGTCACCAAAAGCTTTGCCTGTTTTATTTTTAATGTTTTAATACTTATTCATTTACCCAATAACTTCAAAGGGTCAGAATGGACAAAAGAAATACCAGATCAACCTAAAGAGTCACTCAGGACCTATCCATGTGCTGCTTATAAATAAAGAGTCCAGTTCGTCTAAGCCCGTGGTTTTTCCTGTTCCCCCACCTGATGACCTCACACAACCTTCCTCTCAGTCCTCGACTCCAGTGACTCCACAGAAATCCAGCACAGTAACTCAGAATTTGCCTGAACAGCATGTCTCTGAAAGAAGCCAGAGTCTTCAGCAGACACTGGCTACAGACATATCTTCAGGTGGGTTCACAGTCTTTGTTTTATAAATTAGAGAGGGGAACATATGAATACACTATTAAACAAGTTGGAGAGCTTTTCTGAACTTGTTAGTTGTGATATTATTCTGTTACCTATTACAGGAGGGAAAATAATAAGCTTAATTTAATCAACAAATATTTAGTGTCTGCTTTGTGCCCAGCACTGGGATAGGTGTTATGAGGAAAATTTAAAAACAGATTCTGTCTTTATGGGCCAAGGTTTCTGTTTTCTTTACGATTCCATTTTTGGGGTTAAGTCAAAATGGTTACTTTTTTTCTCCCTGTAAAACTATTTACATATGTCAGCTTTTATCTGAAGTTTGCTCAAAATTTGGGGGGAGGCGGGAATGGGTACAGTTAGCCAGTACAGGGATCAAACAAACCCTGGACGTTGGTGTTATCGGTACCATACTCTGAACAACTGAGCTAACCAGCCAGCCCTACTTTGTATGGTTCTTTTATCTTTTAGTAACTCTAGGATAAATTATTGAAATGTATTCTAACTACTTTAAAAAAAAAATCAAAACTAGTGTAGGACATAGTGACTTATGCCTCCTGTTTCTCCATATTGTTATACTTTTTATTTGGGAAGCTTAGTTTTATAGGGTTAATAAGTGGTCTCTACTTCAATTATTTAGGAAATCTTACCTTCCTAAATTATTTGATATGTGAAATGATAAAAAAAAAAAAACTAAAACCCTAAAAATTGGGCTTCAGGAATAGTGACCACAACTCCTAAGTTCATAAAAATTTCTTTGGTACCCAGTCTTTTCCCCTGGTTACATGCCTAGGTACTTAGTAACTCCTTTCTGCTTCCAAATAAAGGGAGTATGGTATGTAGTTTCTCAGTGACTGCTGAATAAATGAATTAGTTGTGCCAATATAGATGTCATATTGCAGATAATTAAAAACTATATTGTACATAATCCAAATTGTTTACGTTTACCTATGGGCTGTGTCTCATAGCTACTACTCTGGGAGTTTACAACAGTTAAAAGTGAAGCAAAAGAGGGGGCATGTCGGTTACTCATTGGTTACAGCATGGTGTCATAACACAAAGGTCAAGGGTTTGGATCCTTGTACTGGCCAGCTGCCCAAAAAAAAGTGAAGCAAAAAGATCTAAATGGAAATGGAATGTTTCTTAGCTTCTTGTTGCCCATATCCTTCCCTTCTTTCCTTCCCTTACAAGTATTTCTTTTTCTTTTTTTTTTAAAAGATGACCGGTAAGGGGATCTCAACCCTTGGCTTGGTGTTGTCAGCACCACGCTCAGCCAGTGAGCAAACTGGCCATCCCTATATAGGATCCGAACCCGTGGCCTTGGTGTTATCAGCACCGCACTCTACCGAGTGAGCCACGGGCCGGCCTCTTTACAAGTATTTCTATACTATAGGCTACAAGGATGCACAATAAAAGGTGTTAGTCCTTTAAAAGCATATAATCTAATTATAATTGAATTGGGATGAAAAAAGCAGGCAAGCTTTACATGGTTTAGCATAGATAAAATTAGTACATTGGCATCGGCAAAGCATTAATAATAAGAATTAAGTATTTAGTTTCTGCATATGGTTTCATATTTGGAAACAGTAAGGAAAGTAATTTTGGGCCAGATTAGAGGGGGCCTTAAATATCAGACTAATGAGTTAGGACTTTAGCCTACAAGCCAGTGAAGCTTTGTGACCAAGGAAGTAACATAATTGGAGCTGTACAGTGGTAAGTACAGGAGTAACATGATTTAGGAAAAAGATGCTTTTGACCCTGGGAAGCAAAAGAGATGAGAGGCTATGGAGATTATTCATTAGATATTTCTGGTTATGCAACCATGAGAGAATATCAAGGCTAAAACAGAGGGATGATGGTGGGATTAGAAAGAGAAATAATGAAAAGATTTGAGAATATTGTCTAGGCAAAGTAAATAACATTTGATATGTGAGATCTGGAGATAAAGTTAACAGGAAGAATGGAAAGTGATATTTAATTTTTAAGGTTGGGTGACTGGGAGGATTATATTACCACTGACTCTAAAACTGAGTTAGTTTTGGGAGAATCATGAGGAGTCTTTTGATCCACATCTTGAGTTTGGAAGTTTAAAAGTAATGCTAAACACAGATTAAGTGCTTGTGAAAATGATTTTTACATAAAGTTCTAGTACTTGAACTTTGCACTATCAAGCTGCTGAAGTGACTACCTGTGTTTAAATATAAGTGCTTTTACTGTTAAAATATATAAACAGAAATGTGACAAAACTTTATCCCATTTCTGTTTCCAGCAGGATCTATTAGTGGAGATATCATTGATGAGTTAATAATGTCTTCTGATGGTAAGTAGTTGATTTTACTAACCACCTTATACATCAACAATGCTTTCCTAGAATTAAGTGACATATGATTTAAAAGAAATGAAGGACCTGTATTTTCTAACTGCTTTAACAATGATTCATGAAGATTCTCCCTTAATAATACTTTTATAGTGATAGGCATCCTTCAGAATTTATTTTTCTTTGCCTGCATTTCATGGGAAAGGAAACCATAAGGGGATATTTGTCACCTTCATCAAATAAACTTCTAAACTGTTGGCACACTAGGGCTTTCCACTCATGAAGAATTTGGCCCACGAAGAGTAAAATAACATGTCTAAATCAACAGGTGATCTGAAAACCCAGTTTTTTAAATACCACCACCACCATGGCCAATTTCAAGCTGCCGATGTGAAAACACCGAATATTACTAACATTAGCCATATCATTATCTAATCTGCAATAAATTCTTAAAAATCAAGTAGCTACAATTTGCTAATTACTTCAATAATTTCTCTCTGGGCTTCACTTTTCTGGAAATTCTTGGATTCAGAGTCCTGGGTCCTAACATATATAGCAGAGACATAGGAAATGGTAGTGGTGAAGTTAGTAAATGGTACAGTAACCACTTAGAGATTCACTAAATATTTATGTAGAAGCACAGAGAACACAGCAAACTTATTAAATCTAGTTCTGTTTTCACAGTGGTAAACAAACAAAATACTTTGACCAGTGTTTTTAAATCATTTTAGTGACAAGTTCAACCAATAAAAATGTTAACCTTTTTCTCAAGCTAATACTAATAATCAATGTATAAATCTCCTTTAAATGAAAATCTTTCAAAATAATAAACAAGTCATTAATTTGATTACTTTTCCTATATTTAAAAAAAATTTATGTCTGACATAGGAAACAATTTAATTTGGATTGATGCATTTGAGGGTATTTTATGTTAAACATCACTACCTGTTGAAACCATCTTTAACATTGGATTTGTTTTTGGTTTGCAGTATTTCCTCTCCTGCGGCTTTCTCCTACCCCAGCAGATGACTACAACTTTAATTTAGATGATAATGAAGGAGTTTGTGATCTGTTTGATGTCCAGATACTAAATTATTAGATTCCATGGAAACTTGGGACTGTTATCTACCTCTAACTGTGTAACATTTTAGATTTCTTCATAACCTAAGTATTTAAAATAATGAATGTAACACCTTTTTAGTTCACTGATTCTGAAGTGTTCTTCCCTAATACTTTCTTCTTTACTTCACAAAACTTCAACCGTAAAAACAAAGGGCTCTGATTGCTTCAGGGGAGAAGTGATTTAATATCAACCAACTTCCCCACCCCCAAGTAATTACATTCTGAAATTTCAACTTTTCTTCCATCCAATTCTGAATTATTCTGTTTTTTCCTCTTATGAGAGGAAAGTTAAAGTAGACTTCAGGTCATCAAAAACAGAAAAAGATGGCCAAGGGCTCATCACTTGTTTATCTTATATTTTCACTGCCATGAAACTATCTATTTCTGTATGTCCTTCAAACAGACATTCACTGCCACTTATAAAGTGAAGGATGTAAACAAGGATATATAACTGTTTCAGTGAACAGATTTTGTGAAGTGCCTTCTGTTTTAGCACTTTAAGTTTATCACATGTTGACTTCTGACATTCCACTTTCCTAGGTTATAGGAAAGATCTGTCTATGTAGTTTGTTTTTAAAATGTGCCAATGCCTGTACATTAACAAGATTTTTAAAAATAAAATTGTACAAAACATTTAATTTTTTGGTCTTTTGGGGGAATTTGATGCATCATAACTGTATTACAACTGAGCCATTAATCTTGTAGCTTCGTCAACGTTAACTGGTTCATTTTCATGCTGCTGCTGAGGAATCTGAAGGGAGAAAAGTATTATATTTAAAAACTTAGATAACAACAGCAAACAACAATGACTTGTATGTAATCTGTTATCTAATTTAATTTGCTGCTGAGGAATCTGAAGGGAGAAAAGTATTATATTTTAAAACTTAGATAACAACAGCAAACAACAATGACTTGTATGTAATCTGTTATCTAATTTAATTTCTTCTAGTCAGACCTTTGGAAGCAGAAAAATTCTTATATTCAGACTTAATGTTTTAGAATCTGAATGTTTTACCTACTATAGAGCCCTGTACTAAAAATTACATTCAATTTAAAGGTTTTGAAAATTTGGAGTTTATTAGCCATAACAAAAGCAAATGGTTTCTACTTACCAGCTTTTTCTGTAGAGGTTCAAGAGAAAGGCTTTTTGAGAAGTGTGCAAGTTCCTTTTGTATATTTATGAAAGCTTTATTCACTCTGTTAACTTTTTCATTATTCACAATGTTTATCTTTTAAAAAAGAAAAAAAAGCATTAATCCACAATCTCATAATCACTAAAGATAAAATAAAATATATTCAGTCTTAAACTTGTTAAACCTAAAAATCTAAAAACTCTTATCAAACCCTATCAATTTCTGGGGATAATTCACACTAAAATTGTTAGTCTTTTTAGGAAATTTTAGTCAAAAGGTTTTGGTTTTTTAAAAATAAGAATTATATGGATATGCCTCATACTCTAAGCAGGCCAAAGTTGTAACCATAATCTTTCCAGGCTACAGTGCTATGATCCCTCTTCTGTAAAACAAAAAAACTTGGATCAAATGCTTTTAGTCCCTTCTAACAGTACGCCTCTGTATCCTTGACCTTCTTGTTTTAATGGAAATCCCCTGAGGACAGCTTCCTCTGCAGTCCTCCTCTTTTAAGTCTAAGAGGTAGGGGTGGTGTTCTTACTCTCACTGTTGCTACCAAACAATTTCTTCTTCAAAATCCTCACCTCCCTTGTGCGGCAGAACATCCTTTCCTCATTGCTATCACCTACCACCACAATTACTTGCCCCTTCGTGAAAGATTTCAAACCTTGGCTCACTAACCTCTCATGCATGGCATCACTGCTTAGTGGCGTCAACAGAAATCGAATCCAACGCCCTCTTAATCTCTTGAGGTCCTTGTCTTCAGGGATTTTTCCACCACCTACCTCAGCTATCCTCATAAAATACCCCAGACTCGGTCATTACCTGTAACTGCACCACTTCCTGTCCTTATATCACTTAGTTAATTAAAAACAATTCTTGAACCTTACTGAAACCCTTTCCCCACCATTTTCACTGTTTGTCATATCTTCATGACTGTAATTTAATCAATCACTTCTTTACACTCTTTTAACTTTCCCTTTTCCTTAATCAAACTTGCTTGACAACCTGGTTAAATCCAACTATTCCTTTTCTGAGCAAGGAACTGAAGCTGTAGAAAATCATGACTAGCTGACTGGCTTCACTTTAAATTCATGACCACAAACTTCAACCTTACCATTTATGTAACGCCTGGCAATCTTACCACCTCCCCCTACTAAGTTAGGTCACTTTCTGAGAAAAGTATTTGATGCTCTCTCTAACCGTGAAGGCTACCCACAGATTTCTCTCTCTTAGATCCTATCTATCAGCATACATAACGTTCTAATACCACCTATCCAAACAAAATAATCTTCCTCAAATACACCAAGCTTTTCCCTAGCTCAGGACCTCGGCACTGCCTAGAACATGCTACTCCCAACACTTCACAGCTTATTGCATTACTAGCCCCTTAGCATGTGGGTGTTGGCTTCAATGTCAAGTATGAGACTTCATCCTCAAACCTCCATTATATCCACCAGCTTTATTTCCTTTATAGCATTTACAAAGTCATAAAACTGATCAAAAAGCCTAATAAATGAGCTAGTTCATGAAAGTTGAAAGATAAAATGTTACATGTTTACGAACTATTATGACAATTACTGAGCCCTGGAGAGCTGATTCCATCTACAACTGGAACTTAAAAATATTTTCTTTAAGAATTTTCTTAAAAGAATCCACTTAATCTTGATGAAGAAATTCTCAAATATTTTGAAATATAAACAAAGAAAAAGAAGCTCCTTTTCAAATTTTGCATTTCAAGAAACAAATTTTATCTTCATTTTACTGGTTCTGTTTGAGTTTCAGATATCTTCAGAGAGAATTACTGAGGAGGAAAAGAATGGGTGCCGACTGAAATCGCATGTCTTGGCTCTGTTAGTAGATTCTTGAATATATTTGAGTTCAGATATAAGAACTGTTTCCCATACCATGGTTGTCTTATGATTTCTGTGCTATAATACAGCCATCAAACTGCTATATATAATGATTCATGCATTTGCAGTAAAAATACTTTTTTCTTGAATTTGGATTCAAGAAAGGGAAGTCATTTTTCTTCTTTAAAAAACCCCAAATGTTTAAAATCATCTTGCCTTTGTAAGAAAGAATAAGAACCTTTGTTTTAAATACTAGCATTTAGTTTTGCAGTAACTTTACAACTATTCTTTTCTTGTAAATAATAAAGTCAGAGTGTTTAGTAATACTCACTTTCTTAAGATTAGTGGTAACTGGTTTTGCTTTGTTTTTAGCCTTAAAGTGCTTTTGGCTGGCTATGTGAAATACATTCCTGGACTTCTGCCCTCTTAATTTGTTCTTGGCCATTGTCTAGGAAAGAAAGAAAAAAAAAATTCAATTAAGCTGCCCACGTTTATAAACTGTAAATCAATTTAAGTTTCTAAAGGTACCAATTAAATCTAAGAAATTTCATCTTACTCTTGATTATTTTAAAAGTTGCTTCATGTATTAAATTAATGCCATGTCTTTCACCTCTACTGACTTTTTACTCTTTCAATGCAGCATATATAATTCTTTTCTGCATATGCGGCACCTGGCCCATGAGAAGGCACCCAATCAGTCTCTGCTGGTTGAATTCATTATCAGGACAACAACTGTTTTTCTCTGCAGCATCTGACAATGTTAACCTTCACCATCCATCCCTCCGGTAGTCTACAAACTACTATACTATTCTGTTCCTATCATATTTTAGGGATGGACTCTGTCTCCTTCTTGACTTCTTTTTGCATTCCTTTTTACTCTCCCCACTTTCTCTCCTGCATACCCCTCAAAAACCAGTCCTTAATCCTCCACTTCCTCCCTCCCTATGTTATGTTACTGTCACGACTTCCATATTACCTTTATGTGAATGGTTCTTGCCTTGAAACCTTATTTTTTTTGCTCTGCAGCTAAACACATTAAGCCTGTACATTCTGCCTTAGAAATATCTCTCAAATCTGTCCTTAATAATGTATGTAAGGAACAATTTTTAAAATAACTGGGCCGGCCAGTTAGTTGGTTAGAGCATGGTGCTGATAACATCAAGGTCTGAGGTTCAATCCCTGTACTGGCTAGCTGCCCCCTCCCCCCAAAAAAAATAGAGAGAGAGAGAGAGAGAGAGAGAGAGAGAGGGAGTTAACCTTTATTGAGTTTTTACTATATATACAAGCACTTGGCTAACATTTTATGTGCTTTAACTCGTTCACTCACAACCACCCTTTGTGGGAAATACTATTATCCCCATTTTACAAACAAAAAACTGATGCAAACGTAAGTTCATTTGCCCAGCATCACACTGTTAATAACAAGAGGATGCCAGGATTTAAAACCAGGCAGACTAGATCAGAGCTCACATTATGTGATATTGCCTCTCACGTATAAATAAAAAAGCAATCCAAAAATATGGCATAGTATTGCCTAGTTCAGGACTGGGTTACTGCTGCAGTCCTTAGGTCCATTTGGTTAGACAATGGGTTGGCAAACTGTCCATGGACCAAATCAGGCCAGGCACTTATCTTTCTCAGTAAAGACTTATTAGAACATAACTATGTCCATTTGATTATGTATTGTCTACTGCTGCTTTCCTGCTACATCTATGGCCCACAGAGCCTAAAATATTTACTATTTGGCCTTTACAGTCAGTAAAGACTTATTAGAACATAACTATGTCCATTTGATTATGTATTGTCTACCGCTGCTTTCCTGCTACATCTATGGCCCACAGAGCCTAAAATATTTACTATTTGGCCTTTACAGAAAGTTTTCCAATCCTCAGCTTAAGCCATCTGCACAGTGGCTATCTTGCACAGTGCTATGCAATGAACGTTCCCAATGTTAAAAACTTTCAGTGACTTCCATTGCACAAGGGGCAATATGCCTTGATCTGGCATATTACTGGTACCCTGAATCTAGCCTAAATCTGTCCAATGTATCTTCTACCTCTGTATACACACTGCACTAGCCAGCCTAGTTTACTAATTGTTCTCTTAAGACACCTTTCTTGTATTTGTTTACATCATATCTAACTGAAATTTACATCCCCCCTCAATGTAGCCTCAGGAAACTAACAAAGACAGCAACACTTTTGAACTCCAAAAGTACTCCTCCTACTTATAAAAAAAAAAATGAACGCAGTAGAAAATGCATGATTATTACAGAAGCAGCAGAAAATACAAATAAACCCCCCAAATTAAGTAATCTAAAATCCTTCCAACAATAACCAACATCCAATCATAACAAAGACAGCAACACTTTTGAACTCCAAAAGTACTCCTCCTACTTATAAAAAAAAAAAATGAACGCAGTAGAAAATGCATGATTATTACAGAAGCAGCAGAAAAAAACAAATAAACCCCCCAAATTAAGTAATCTAAAATCCTTCCAACAATAACCAACATCCAATCATTCATCTAGTATTCATTAATCCATTACTATGAGCCGGATGTGGGGTGTGGTATAGAACCGATATATATATATAAAAAATATACATACATATAAAGTTCATGGAAAATTGGAATTGATAGTACAAATCTTTTGATGAACTTTTTTGAAGTACCCTCGTATATACAGGTCTATTACGTATAATATTAAATTAATATATACATGGAACATAGACACAGACACATGATAGGTGATATATACGGATCATACATGGACATAATGATAGGTATTATATATTACACATAATACTATATATAATTTATATATGGAACACACAGACATAACTGTAGATGTTGTTACCGGCAACATACAAGTAGGGAGGGACACGAGATGTCGACTAGAGTTGAAACAGGAGGAAGGTTCATGGACAAAGTAATACCCTAGTGGGGTGGAGGGAAGAAGGGTGTTTAGGAAAATTCTCTGACAATCGCGCGGAAATTGTGACGATAAAAGATAACAGCCAAAAATTGGGGATCCTGCCAAGGAATGAAGGCCCAATTAGGGGCCAGGGTTTCGGGCCTGGGCCAACAGGGCTGCTGCCCAGTAGGGCAGCCCAAGGCCGAGTGCGACCACAACGAGCCTCCGCGCCACAGCGGCACGAGACCGCCCAAACCTGCTTCAACACCAGGAAACTCCGCACTAGCCCTCCGAAGAATTAATCTCTCACCAGACCTTCGATACTCGCGTGCAGCAACTCAAGCTCCAGATGACACCAACTGTACGCGCACAGTGCAGGAAGTTCCGGGGAGGGACCCAGTCAAAATACCGCTCGGGAGCCTTAGTTCCGCCCACCAGTGAAGCCCCGCCCACCGGGCATCACTCCGCTCTCTGAGCGGGGTCCCGCCCACCGGGCGTAGCCCCACCCATAGAGAGAGGTTCCTCCCGCCGTGGCAAGTCCCGCCACATTAGCATTCGTTGCTTTAGGCTGGGTTGCGGGCGTCTGCTTCGCACAAGCAAGGTAGAGTACTTAGGGAAGCCCTCGAGTCTCGACAGCCCGGGGTGGGTACATGTACAGAAACCACCCGAGGTGTTTCTGAGTCACCGAGGGGTAGTCGACCCTCAGCAGCTGCTTCTGGCAGGCTCTGCCCACGCTCCCGGCAGGCTCTGCTCACGCTCCCAGGAGGTGGCACTGCGTACCTTTGGGTGGCGTTCCGGGCGTGGCGGCTGACTAGAAAGAACCCTGTTGCGTCTGGAAAAGATCTAGAGCTATAATCTCCGAAGGGAAAGTGTATAATGAGCGAGAAGTTACAAATGCTATTCTCACTGTAGCTTCCTTGCTTTTTTTTTTTAAAAAGAGGATCTTAACCCTTGACTTGGTGTTGTCAGCATCACGCTCAACCAGTGACCAAGCGGGCATCCCTATATAGGATCCGAACACGGGGCCTTGGTGTTCTCAGCACCACACTCTCCCGAGTGAGCCACAGGCCGGCCCTTTCTTACTTTGAAAATAGAGTTTCTGACAGCATGGCAGAGGCAGAAGAAACCAGTCACAATATACAACATAAAAATAAAGCAAGTACCAGGGAATTTAGAAAACCCTAGAAGAAATACTTTTCCCTTCCGGTTTTGTTTGTGTGTATATTTCCCAATTAGGACGTTCTGAGTTGAGTTTTTTAATTCTTCTAAGAGGATTCAGTTCTTCCAAGAGGATCTCCCCATCAAAGCTAAGTTTTCACGTTTCTCTACTTATTTTGTCAAGGTCATAGGAAAAGATGGATTTCAAACAAATTAAGTACTGATATTTATGTGCCATTTTGTAACTTACAAAAGAGTTCAGCCTATACCCTGCTACAAGCAGCAAAATAAAGCAATTATACTACCCGCCTTTTGCAAGTGAGGGTACTACTAAGGCTCAGAGTTAAAAGCCATTTGCTGGCAACCACACAACTAGAATCCACACTGACCAGCACTCGGTCAAGTCCACTTTCCAACAACATATCAGCTACTTGCCTGCTTGTAGAAAGATAAGCCATTTTTACAATAAATCGTTTTATTATGTTTATTCTTATCACAACAAAACTAACAAATATATTAAGGAAAGAGGAATAAATACCTGTTAATGTATGTTTATTCAAAATTTTGAATTCTTTCTAAAGAGCAACCTTTGAAATAAAACACCTTAAAATGCTGGTATAAAATGCCTGTAATGAGTGGGAGCAAAACCAAAACAAAACCAAAGCTACAGAAAACAGTGAGTTTCATTTACAAGGCCAGAGTTATCCACAAATACTGAAGCAAGTAAGGCAGTTATAATTATGGTTCCTTAAGCGCGGAGTTATTGATGTATATGCAGAAGACAAAGAAGCAAATGGAATGGAATGACATAAAACAGTGTTTATGAAAACTTAGCTTTTTATTAGCTACGCCTAATAGCTTAGGCTTAGCTTTTATTTTGAAATGGTGAGATAGATATACAAGTACATACACCAAGGAGATAACCATGGTTATACAGGTAAGAGCAGAGGCATTATATAATGTATGAGTGAAGAGGCATGGATTTCTGTTTACCTCTTCTACCAACTGACATTGTGACCTTGGAAAAGTTACTTCATTTCTCTGGGCCTGCCTTTCCCATATGCAGATGGCCATGTGCTTTGGATTGAGTGTCCCCCCAAAACTTGACCCCCACTATGACAGCATTAAGAGGGTGGGAAATCCTATTATGGTAATTGAAAGGTAGGGCCTTGAACAGGTGATTAGATTGCAGGACCATGCTGTAATGAATGGTTAAAAACAGTGGTCATAGGTGTGGTTCTGAGAGCTTCAAAAAGAGTGTGTGAATGAGGAGGTTAGTCTCTTTTTTTCTCTCTGTCCCACCACTTTGCAATGTGATACCCTGCCGTCACTGAAGTCACCACTGAAGAAAGCCCTCACCAGATATGTTCTCTGGACTTTGGACTTCCAGCCTCTGAAACTGTAAGCAATAAATTTTGTTTTCTCTATAAATTACCCAGTTCCGTGTATTTCATTATAAGCAACAGCAATGGACTAATACATCATGTCAGACAACATTCATTATCTGCTCAGCATCCCTTTTTGAATAACCACTCTTCTCCCATAAAACGGTCCTGGCTGGTCAGATTCTCTTCTGTGATTTTCCATTTGGAGCTAGTGGAGAATGCTCTCTCTTGCATTTGATGTCTTTGTGCTGTGAGGATGTGAAATTGAGGCTACTAGTGACCATCTCCACTGGCAACTTGGAGGAAGCCTGTCTACAGTGGAGAAAACAAGGGCAACACACAAAAGAAAACAGCTGAACAATAGAAGAGAGGACTCTGATGATATCATGTGAGTTGTTGGATCTAGCCACAGATGGGAGGAAGATCCATTGCTTTTTGGGGGGACTTACACTACCTTGGGTTATTTTTTTTTAATCACTTATATGTGAAATAGTCTTGACTCTACTCCTGTCCTACCTACCTCACAGGAGGTAGGGTTAATGAAGTACAAAATATGAAAGCAAATGGTATTACTAAAACAAAAGAAAGGAGCATGTTAATTTTCTAAGAGCCGTATTTACCTATGAACCAAATGAACCACACACATAGAAAGAAAAAAAAATAGCTTCAGTTTTCTCAGTCTTTAAAAATACATGCAAAGAATCATATTTCCAGTTTTTTGAACAACTTTAAAGGTGAATAAAATCACAAATGGAAAAAACATCTTTCAGAAACCTTATTTTCCTGAGACACAGAAATGCAGGTTCTTCATACAGACCAGGTCCTCAAAGAACTGTCATGGAAACAATTCAACAAGTAAACAAGGATAATTAGGGAGAAGAAGAAAATGAGAGCACACATAGATAATTACAAACCATCTATAACAAAACTCACAGCCCTCCACCGGAAAAAAGCCACCTTTGTATAGATAATACTCCATAATAAACATTTCATCTATTCCATCTTAAACTTTCTACCACTCAGATTTATTCAGTTCAAATAGTTTGAACACCTAGGCTCTGTGAGAGTTCAAAGGAAGTACATAATGCATTTCTTTCTCTTAAGGAGGCATAATCATCTGGATTGGGAATGCACCTAAAATGATTCTTGATAGAAAGTGGTAAAGACTATCATAAGTGCACAAAAATATGCTATTTATGGAAGGAAGTAATTTTGAATTCTGGCAACATTCATGTTAAAGTACTCACATAATTATTGGCTTAGAACAGAAATCAGCAAACTACAGCCCAGAGGCCAGATTCGGCCTACTGCTTATTTTTATACAGCCCAAATTATTTTAAATTTTAAAATGGGGAAAAAGTAAAAATAAGAAGAAAATGGTATGACACAGGTATGTTCTATTAAATTCATATTTAAGCTTCCATAAATGAAGTTTCTTTGGAACACAGCCACACTCATTTGTTTACATATAATCTAAGGCTGCTTTCAAGCTGCAACAGCAGAGCTGCAGAGTTGCAACAGAAACCACACAGCTGCACAGCCTAAGATATTTACTATTTGGCCATTTCCCAACTTTAAAAGTTTTGAAAACTTTATCAGCCCTTGTTTTAGAGAATGAGCAGCATGGTGGTGTAATTGGTTAAAGTATTAGTGTTTTATACTCAAAGCTGTAGGGAGCTTAAGAGAATAGAAGGCATTTTTTCTCCCAACAGTTCAAGAAGGTAGCTAAGCCTTCTGAGTTTGGGTTCCCTTGCTTCTAATGGATATAAATAATTGTCATGCTTCTGGGCTGAAAATGGAAGCTCCCAGATATGTAGAGGACACTTCTACCTGGATCTTCCTTAGGGAGTAGAAATGGAAAATGGCTTAATCCTAGGGAAGAAGATGAGACTAAGGAAATGATCAGGGGAGAGGGTGGTAAAGGGCTTTTTGTAAGTGCTTAATTTTAAAATGGGGAAAAAGTAAAAATAAGAAGAAAATGGTATGACACATGTATGTTCTATTAAATTCATATTTTAGCTTCCATAAATGAAGTTTCTTTGGAACACAGCCACACTCATTTGTTTACATATGATCTAAGGCTGCTTTCAAGCTGCAACAGCAGAGCTGCAGAATTGCAACAGAAACCACACAGCTGCAAAGCCTAAGATATTTACTATTTGGCCATTTCCCAACTTTAAAAGTTTTGAAAACTTTATCAGCCCTTGTTTTAGAGAAAGAGCAGCATGGTGGTGTAATTGGTTAAAGTATTAGTGTTTTATACTCAAAGCTGTAGGGAGCTTAAGAGAATAGAAGGCATTTTTTCTCCCAACAGTTCAAGAAGGTAGCTAAGCCTTCTGAGTTTGGGTTCCCTTGCTTCTAATGGATATAAATAATTGTCATGCTTCTGGGCTGAAAATGGAAGCTTCCAGATATGTAGAGGACACTTCTACCTGGATCTTCCTTAGGGAGTAGAAATGGAAAATGGCTTAATCCTAGGGGAGAAGATGAGACTAAGGAAATGATCAGGGGAGAGGGTGGTAAAGGGCTTTTTGTAAGTGCTNAGAAGATGAGACTAAGGAAATGATCAGGGGAGAGGGTGGTAAAGGGCTTTTTGTAAGTGCTTGAGACTTATGTCCCTGTGGCACACACCACTATGGCCTTAGGAGCACTAACATAAGATCCCTGCACTCGTAAGTGCAACAGAGGGATTGGAGCTTTCCGCCTCCAAATGTAATCCGGACTTTAGCAATGAGCATCTCAGCAACCACTGTGATGGGCTGAAGACTAGAGAAAGTTTCCCATTTTCTGGGCACTGGGTAAGCCATCTGCTTCCCGTAGAGTTGAGACTGAACTTTTAT